GCAGCTATTTGAGAAGATTACTGCTCACAGTATAAACTGACAAATGTGTTTGAAAATAAACTTTGAACAGATATAAGATGGCACTAGTTCCAACATAGACCTTAGAAAACAAGGACATGCTACTGTAGGTATCCCTTTCATGTAACCTTAGTTATAATCCTCTACCCAATTAACACCTTAGTAAAACTGACAATAAAGCTATATCAACACCACTGTTACATCCTCTCCTGTTCCATAAGCCAAACATGGCTGCCAGTGAGTAGCTACACAAAATGAGCCAATTTTGTGGTTAGAATATAGTCAGAAAAATTACATTTGATTAAAACTGAATCGCCAAGCCCATTCTATTGATACGAGTGAAAATAAAAATTGCAAAGTTAACAGTTTTTATTCCACTATGAAAACGGAAAAGGGAAATAAAATTGCTCAGTTTTCCCTACAAGAAAACAAAGCTGCCTAAACGTAAACAATGACCTGTCAAAATTTGTGTCATAACAAGTGGATTTTTCATCATATTTAGAGCAGATATAGCATACTGCACTTGTTATACACTGACAAATGTGAATATTGGCACAGCATAACTTATCAAACATATAAAAAAGCGTAGAAAGGTAAGAACTAAAACTGTTTCAGATGAATAGATATATGTATTAAAGGGATTATCTATACAGGGGATTATAACCCACGTTGCACACAGGAAACTGGATTTTCTTTTGTCTTAGACAGAAGTTGCATGTCCCTGTTTTCTAAGGTCTATGGTTCCAATAAGATGAAATGTATACATAATCACACAAAAATGGAAAATTTCAAAGAGTTTCAAAACAACTATTACACCATGTATTTTCTCGTTAAATCCTGCTACAGATTAGGAGGATTGAATTTCAAAATATTAAAATTACTTTTCTTTAACTAAAGAAGCTTTCACAACAATTACGTTTCAACTGAAATAATAATTACCACAAAACTCATTAATTATTCATGTAAATATTGAACTTGGTTATCCTTACACTTTTGTTTATAACATATATAAATTTGAAACCGATCGGGTAAAATTACTTAAGATATCGCGCCCACATATCGTAGCCATCTCTAATTAATTATGCATGCAAAATGCTCCAACATCGGATTTGGCCACCTTTGCATGTCTGTTTATAACATATATAAATTTGAAACCGATCAGGTAAAAATTACTTGAGTTATGACACGCACAAGTCACGCCAACAACAATGACGACGCCGAAATCTTTTCCTTACTATACCTTCCCCTTCGTTTACACTACACAACGGGCAAGGCAAAAAACGAGTTGAATGTATGCAGAACGGTGAAAATTATTGTTCTGCACGTAAACATTTTGGCGACCGACTCAGCGGAGAAACCCATATGACGGGAAACGCTTCAACCTGTTCGCTTCTGTATGTGAAATTATCAGATTTCATAATTACAGCGCTTGAAAACATACACCACATGCAGCCAGCCGTATTCAATACATCGAACATGGTCGGCGTGCAAATGAACCTAGCCTAAAACGTCTTAGATATATATGTTAGTAAGTTTATTTTTTGTCATTGTTCGTTGTTTCTTGCCTTTCTCAATGGCTTATTTGGATATGTTTAAAAGTCACCCACAGCCACAAGAATATAGATAAAAAACTAACATTGATATAATGCTAGACATAGAATAACTGATTCAAAATAGGTCAAGGCCATTTTTAGTTTTTCATTAACATTAGTTATTTATCAGACACACCCAGTGAAATGTTGGCGATAACAGCCAAAGGGGCAGGGATTGCATTTCAAAAAAACGTATTTTACAGGGGCGGTTCTAAAATTTTGGAATGGGGGGGGGCGATAAGCTGTTGCGAAGCGCCGATGGCGCGAAGCCCTGTTGGTTGTTAAAAATAGTGCGACGCGGCCCCCTCGCCCCCCTCTAAATCTGCTCATGTTATATATATAGTGTATGTGATAAAAATGTGAGCAATCATCGCGCCAAAACGAAGTAAAACGACGGGACATCCGGAGTAATCTATTTATGTGAATTGCCACTGTAAACAATATTGACTTGTCCTACCGAATTTGATGTACATTGACCTGTCGGAGATAACCCAAATCCAATGGCGTCGGCCTAGTTCTTCTGGCCAGTGGAAAAATAATGTTGGCAAAATTTCCAGCTGATATTATTCTGTATCCTGATATAAAAAACATTGCGAATGTTCACAAATGACGCAAATCGTAGTCCTGTAAAGTAGTTGACACCCTCCAGAGCCTGTAGATTGCTTCGATCACAGTCCCTCTCAATGGACAATAATGGGATTCATGTGTTTCCAAGTACATAATAGGCAGCTATGACCCGAAAAAGGTCGATTCCTTTCTTATGCAGCGCTTTCTATACACGGCGCTTGCTATTCAGGGGAATAGGGAATAACGAAATAGCGATATTCCTGGTGGAATATGTGGAATCAATACTTAAAACCTGAAATAATTTGTTTTATAGCAGGGTATGCCGACGGTGAAACCGATTCAGGGTTTGTGTACATATATTGGTGACTCATTCTCCAAGCCTCGACTGATTTTTACCATTGGCAGAGTTTTATTTTTACGAATATAAACTTCGGTGCTCTAGCCGCAAGGAACTTTGGGGAGAATTGTGTGCTTGAGCACAGCCATTATTGAATACAGATATAATGACTGTGTCAAAGTTTCTATATATGATATCTACTGGTGATTATTCATTACTAGTTAGTTGGTGTGTAATCGATTTTCAAACTGGTTGTGGTCTCCCGAATTCAAAAGAAATGTTAGCGTGTTTTAATAATTTGATCTAAAAATCGTCATTTTGACCACGAATTGCAACCAAAATAATGATTGTGTCAAAGGTCTGATATAGTTCCTATATATGATATCTACTGGTGATTATTTATTACTAGTTAGTTGGTGTGTATCGATTTTCAAACTGTGGTTGTGATCTCCCGAATTCGGAAGGAATGTTAGCGTATTTTATGAATTTGATCTTAAATCGTCATTTATCCGTCACCCAAAATTGCAAAAAAAATAATGACTGTGTTGGTGTGTCGATTTTAAACTGTGGTTATGATCGCCTTACATTCTGAAGTAAAGTTGCTTGTTTTATGAATTTGATCTAAGAATCGCCAATTTGACCCCAAATTTCAACTTTGAAATATATGTTGTATAATGTGAATACTAGTGAATATTTATTACCAAACGCTTCAGCGTGGTATTAAGATTTTGTTTTCAGGCTTGGGTGGTACCAAGGTGGAAAATGGTTGCACATATGGGGGGTAATTCCTGGAATTGCAATAGAGAGGGTTCAGGCCGAAATACATATATATAGTGTTTCCATGTTTCGTCTGATATTTCTGTGGTATTCTGCTGCTGTAAATAATGCAAGATTTGTTCCGAAATTCAGTGTGTTGTGTGCACTCCAGGGTTATTCGTTTTTTTGCTCAAAACACCCCTATTTTTTAATGGGAGAGTCGAATAGTTTCACTCCCACTGGGAAATCTGCATTGTTACTTGAATGAGAGCTAACTAAACACATTTTCCAGACCGGCGAAAGTGTATGCAACAGCCAATGTTAACAGCCTATCACGTGATTTTAGTCTGAATGTCAACATCAAAAGAGGCTAATCCATTTACGCAGG